TCATAGTGGACCACAATGTTTTGAAAAAAAATGTAAAAAAATTTGATTTTTATGTTAAAACAATTTGAAACAAACGGGGGCGAAATATGCATTTTCTAAATTATTAGTGTCTTCTTGACATAACTCTTACCTACACAAGCAACTCAATTGGATACATAGGTATGTGAAGAGTGACTTTGCTAAAATAATTTGTCCATGTTTAACAATTATTATTTGAGAACTCTTTTTTTCAACGCAACCAATATTTGACGCGAGACTTTTATGAAAAACAAGCACTTCCACGTCGAACATATAGGATCTATTATAGGGGGCTTATCCTCAATAGAGCAGGTGAATCCAAAAAATTTTTCTATTTCTTAACAATACATTCTTTTAAGAATCACTATTTAAACCATTATTTTTCTCAGATAATAGCCATCAAATAAGGGTTTAATCAATTTTGTGACCATTTAAACTATGAAAGAGTTCGGTGACTAAAATGAAACGTTTTCAAAGACTTGGATGCATACATTGTCGATCCACATATATTTTGGATTTTTTAGACAGGGCGTTTTCAAAGACTTGGATGCATACATTGTCGATCCACACATATTTAGGATTTTTTGAGAAAATATATATATGTTGAAATTTTGGCTCAAGTGATGTTATACAATAGGATACCTATGTGCCTTGTAAATTTATTATTGGGAATTCGGGATCCAAAAAATATTTGATATTTCATGTAACTGTTATATAGATCTATGTTATCAAATAATTTATTTTACTTCAAAGCTACCAAAATTAGATCGGAAGGAGACTGATCTCTTTCTTTTTTTTTCTTTTTTTTTTTTTTTTAAATCATGAAATTGAACAATGTGGGTTTTATTCATTTTAATTTTTACTTTGTTCTTTCACTTGAATTATTTTTTGAGAGATTATTACAAATTAAAATATATATTTTTTGTGATAAATAGTTTCAATTATGTAGAGATTCAACGTTGATCTAAATTGAAACGTAATTAAAATTCAATCTAGGAATTTATGTTTTTGATTTATTTTATTGGTTGTCTAATATTCGTTCATTTGGTCAAGTTTAGTATGATCATTTTTAGTGTAAATATTTCTTCCAAGAATAGTTCGTGGCTTTTTCTCATGGACGGTAATATAATAATCTTTTGATAAAAGTTATAAAAACCAAAATTCCAGGCTCAAAATTCAACAAATTGATCATCGATTCACCAATCACATTTTGTTATGGCGAGACACACGATCAGCTCAACTAGGTCGGTGCCTAACATGCTTCATGAGTTTTTTGACGGCCTATATGCTTTCACACGAATTATTATACATACATTGTGTGACGTGTAAAAATCGAGGCATTGATTGTTTTAAATACTGTTAAAATTAATGACAAAATTATATGTCATATTACACAATATTAAAAAACCTGTTAACAATGATGTACACCAAGCAAAACTGTCATCCATAGGCATCCCTTAATTTGATGAGCAATGCTACACTTACACATTTGGTTCACATTCACATCCCTCTCACATATGGGGTGGGGCCCTCAATTTTAAAAATCGCTGGCCCCACCACCTATGTGAGAGGGATGTGAAAGTGAATGTGAACCAAGGTGTATATATTTAGCATTTTTGTAATTTGATTAATCAAAATAAAATAAAACGGGACCACCCTAGGGACTAGGATGACAAAACCTATTTAATAGAGGGAATCTAGGCAATGTCATCGCGTAAAGCTAAGCTTTTATTTGACCTCCATTTTTTTTTTTATAAATGAGTTTTCTAATAATGGTTTTTTGAAAAATGTGTGGTTAAAAAGTAAAAAAAAAAAAAAATGGATTTATGTGCAAAACTAATTTATTGGGTGATTGTGTGGTTGAAAATAATTCATGTTTAATGGTCACTATAAATAGAAATTGAGAAAAAAATAATGTTTTGAATAGTAATTTTTTAGAGAATGTGTGGCTGAAAAGTAGGAAAAGTTTTGAATGTATGTACGAGTGTTTAATCGTGTGAATATGTGGTTAAAAATGAGAATGAGAAATTAATATTTTTTTAAATTAAAAGAGTCAAAGAAGGGCTGAATTTAAGAAGAAAATAAATGGGAAAGTTGAATAAATGGGATCGAGCATGACCTAAATATTCAAAAAGAAGAAAAAGAAATAGAACAATTCTGGATGTAAAGAAAAGTACACCACAGAAACACAACAGAAAACACACAATAAGGTGGGACCCGCCATTTTTTGCAATATTTAAATATACAGTGGAACTCACTCTTTATCTCTCATCTGGTGAAAATCCTTCTGTACAAATTGAAAATTTGAAAGAAGTATACAAAAGGGAGTTTGTCTTTATATTATATGGGACAAAAACTAGTGGATATCTAGCTGGAGTTTTGTTTTTTTCCCTTCACTATTAGTTACTCAAAATTGAAAAGGGGAATTAATTTTGTTTTTCTTATTTACTCGACATGACAGGTTGAAAAAAATAGTAAAATGTGTTCGGTAGTTACTTGAATGATGTTGAAAATAATAATCATGTTTGTCAATATAAGGTTTGATGCACAGAATATTATGTGATATATATGATGGGGTAGATAATTATTTATAAACACCTTGAAATTGTAAGTGTTATGTCATAAATCAAATTGATTTAGGTGGTAAACACTTTTAATATGTTTAATATATTTATTTTTACAATATCTATTATTTATTTTAAATTTGCAATTATAATAAATTATATTAAATAATAGAGTTCGTAGATTCAAATTTTAATAATTTGTTAATCTATGGAATTGTGATTGTGAGATACAAATTATATATGACTGAATCTTAAATGATTCACGATCGTAAGTAATAATGAGATATGGATATCGTTATTACGGATAGACCATAACATATGACATTTCTTACTTGTGAAATAAGTGATTGATCACAAAAATTAAAGTGTGATGACACTTAAATAAATACCTGAATATTTTGTTATAGAACAAAATATCAGAGACCCGTTGAGGAGATTTCACATGAATAATTATCTGGGTGTCAGTAGTTAATTTTTAATGTTCAGTAATAGAATTGGTCTTTCGACTTGAGGTCTCATAGTATCTTATATGAGGACAGTCATATTTTGATGATATTGCTCTATCAAGAGTAGCTAATACAACATTGTTCGTATATATCAAGAATTTAATGAAAGTTGTGAATGATCAATCTAGAATGCGTCATTATTAGATAATAAGATATTATGATCTAATATTTCATTCGATGAAGTTGATAACGAAATTCTTGGTTAACAAACCTTGGCCCGGAAGGTAATCTGAAAGGGAAGGCTATATAAAAGACTTTTTAAGTTCACCATGAAGTATGATTATTTTCCTAAATTTTGATCCTAAAATAAAAATTACTTGCTATAGAAGTAGAAGTCAAGTGTAAGGTGAAGTTACTTATGAATAATTAATATTTTTATTTTATCCATTAAATACAATAAGTTATTCTAAAATTTATTGGTAAAGTAAACGTCTTAAGTTTAGTCAAACATATATGCTTGTAGCCAAACAAACAAATCGTTTTAGATATTCTAATTTCAGTAACTTATAATAAAACTCAAACTAACACAAAGTCCTTGTTTGACAAAACTTTTTGAGATTATAAGCTAATGCTTCTTATTAAATGTTTGATTTAAAAGTGAATAAAAATTACGAGTTCAAATTAAATGTATGATTAAAATGAATTTTTACCAACTAAAAGAGAAAATTGAGCAGGTTTAAGTGCTAACAACATTGTAAAAGCCACGAGTATAAGGAATTTTCGACATAAGTCTTACCAATGCTATTGTGGCCGCAGATGATTGGACTTTTTTCTCTCCCCCCATCTTTCAAGGGTTATGCTAGAATACCAGAAGAATTCTTGCCAGAAGTCTACCAGATACTCACAAAGCCTTTAAATAATATAAAATTGATTTCTATAAAAAGTACTATCTTACCATTTCTATCTTTATTTGCAAGTTTTATCCTATATCTTCTAATTCTTTTTTTTGGGTCATA